TCTTCTCCCTCCCCTTTTTTGCTTGGGGGTCTAAGGGTTCTTCTCTAGAGCTTTCTTTCCAAGAACTAATTTGAACTTTTAAAAAATTGAGATATAACTCATATACCAGCAAATTCACTGCTTTAAAGTGTACAGCTCAGTGATTTTAGTATATTCACAAAGTTGTGCAACCATCACCACTATCTACAATAATTCCAGAACATTTTCATCACTCCCCAAAGAAACTTCATACCCCTTAGCAGTCACTCCCCATTCCCAACTTCCCTCAACCCCCAACTACAGATCTATTCTCTTTCTTTATAGATTTGCCTGTTCTGGACATTTCATATAAATGGAATCATACAATACAACATGGCTTTTTTCATTTAGCATAATATTTTCAAGGCTCAACCATGTTGTATCATACACCAGAACTTCATTCTTTTTTATAGCTGAATAATATTGGGTTGTCGGAAAAGTCATGATGTACTTTGTCTGTTTTTCAAAGGTCATTTATTTATATAAAGAACAAAGATCAATCAATGATATAGTGCCCATTTTGTTTGATAACCTTTTGTCATCTTTCAGTGAGCTTCATAATTCCTCATTCATAGAAGGACCTGCGTTTATTTGTGAAAAACTGAACAAGGTGCTGATTTACAGCCTCATCTGAATTGAATGTTATACCACGCAAGGAGTTTTGAAGAGAGCAAAACAAGTGGAAGTCTGATGGTGCAAGGTCAGGTGAGTATGGTGAGTGTGGCAACACAGCGCATCCAAGCTCCAATAATTTTTGACGGGTGATCAAACTTGTGTGTGTTCTCGTGTTGTCTCAATGGAACACAACTCCTTTACAATTAACAAGCTCTGGACATTTCTGGATGATGGATTCATTCCAACTGTCCAATTGCTGATGGTACACATTCAAATTGATTGTTTGGTTCCTTGGTAGGAGCTCAAAAAACATGACACCTTTAAAATCCCACCACATTGAGAGCATAACCTTCCTCTGATGAATGTCTGCTTTTGATGTCGTTTGAGGCAAATCATCACATTGGGACCAAGACCATTTGCACACCACATTGTTGTAAACAATCCACTTCTCATCGCCAGTTATCATTTGCTTCAAAAAAGGATTGTTTTCCTCACAATTAATGAGCATATTGCAGATGTTTATATGCGCCATCAAATGAACTTCTTTGAGTTCATGTGGAACCCAAGTATCGAGTTTGCTTACGTATCCCAGCTTCTTCAGGCGGTCGTGAATGCTTGAATGATGGATGTTCAATGTTTCTGCAATTTTTTGTGTCATGTAACATGGGTTTGACTCAATCAATGTCTTTATTTTGTTGTTATCAACCTTGGTGGGCCTCCATGACTGAGGAGCATTGTTGAGATCAAAATCACCAGCACAGAATTTCGTGAACCGTTGTTGGCACTGACATTCTTGTAAAGCATTGTAACCGTAAACTTTATGCAACTTTTCACAAGCTTGACGCGTGTTCTTCCCTTTATGGAAGTAAAACAGTAAAATATGGCAAAAATGCACAGTTTGGTCTTCCATCTTTAACTTGTTGTAAAATCTCCAAAACCCAACCAAATCACTCAATTGTTTTTTAGAATGAAGCTAGAACTCAGCTGTCAAATGACATAGCAATAACACAGATGTGAATGACTCTAGTACTTCCAAAAATGAACTAGTGCCATCTGTTGCAAACATGTGTCATGACTTTCCGACAACCCAATATAATAATACATTATATGGATATACCACATTTATTCATTTATCAGTTTATGGACATTTGGGGTGTTTCTATTTTTTTACTATTATGAATAATGCTGTTATGAATATTTGCATACAGTTTTGGTTTAAACACTTGTTCTCAATTCTTGTGGTTATATACCTAAGAATAGAATTGCTGAGTCATAAGGTAATTCTATATTTAATATTTTGAGAAACTGTAAAATTGTTTTTCAAAATCACTGTATCATTTTACATTCTTACCAACATTGTAATAAGTGTTCTTCTTTCTCCACATCTTTATTAATACTTGTCATTGTCTCCATTTATTATAGCTATCTTAGTGGGAGTGAAGTGTATCTCACTGTGGTTTTGATTTGCATTTCCCTAGTGACTAATGATTTGAGTCTATTTGAGTCTATTTGAGTCTATTTTCATGTGCTTATTGGCCACTTGTATATCTTTTTTTGAATAAATGTTTATTCAAATCCTTTGCTCATTTTTTTTTTAAAGATTTTATTGGGGAATTGGGGAAGGGGAACAGACAAGTTGCAGTCCTTTTGTTCTTCAGTCTAGTTGTGGAGGATGTTGCTTCACTGGCCCATGTTGGTATTGTGATTATTGCGCTCTTCCCGGGTAAGGCAGTCACTTGCCAGCCATTGGATGGTTGCTCCCTGCAGTTCACGGCAGCTCACAAAAGCTCATGCCAACTGCCGGCCAGCCCCACTGCAGCCCATGCTGTCACCGATGACTCACAGCAGCCCAGCTCCAGGTCAAGTTGTTGTTCACCATCTTAGCTGTAGAAGGTGCAGCATCACTGGCCCTCATGTGGGATCTGAACCCGGGTCCTACTGCTTAGAGCTGGTGTCCCAAACCAACTCCTACCCAATGTGCCACTCAGCCGGCCCCCTTAGCCCATTTTTAAATTGGATTATTTGTCTTTTTGTTGAGTGATTTTATATATATAGATATAGATATAGATATAGATATAGATATATAGATATATATATTCTGAATACCAAGACACTTTCAGACATACGATTTGCAAATATTTTTCCCATTACATAGATTTTCTTTTTAATTTTTTGATAGTGTCTTTTGATGTGTAAAAGTTTTAATATTTGATAAAGTCCAATTTGTCTACTTTTTCTTTGAATGTTTGTAGTTTAGGTGTTAAATCTAAGAAACCATTGCCTGACTTACTATTGGAGCCAGCCGATATCTTGAACAGTCCTGAGGGGGGGGGCGTTAGGATTAAGAAAAGAGACAGAAGAGAGAGAGTTACCGGGAGGACTCCAGAAAATACTGAAGCCCCGAGTTTATTTTCCAACATCCTTATATACATTCAGGGTATGTGCAAACAGAAGGGATAAACATGCATTACCTTATTCAAAAGTAGATCATTAACTTTCTGCAAGATACTTTAAAGGTCAGGGAGACCTTAGGGGGTAAGCCTCCCAGAACACTTCCTTCCATTAACCCAAATAGCTACAATCTTCTGTGTCTCTTTAGGAACTGGCCGAACTCGCCTGGTACCTCAGTGTTAAGTAAACATCCTACAGGTGCAAAAAGGAGCAAAACAAGATGCAAAACAATGCATCACTAAAGCCAGCCTGCAGGCTCCCAACAACTTACTCTCATGTTTTCTTCCGATTTTATAGTTTTAGCTCTTACATTGAGGAGTTTGATGCATTTTGAGTTAATTTTTTTATGACTTTATAAGAATTTGCTCATTTAATCTACCGTGACCAGGTCTATCTACTATAATTCCAAATAATCATGGTTACAAATATTTGAAAAGTAAATAATTCTGATTTATCTTTAATAAGGAGCCAAATATTTGAATTTTTTAGCTTAATTACCCTAGAAGAATCTAATGTCACTTTGGTAACCCATTTAGGTAAAAATTTCAGTGCAATACCAATCACTATTTTTTTCTTCTTTCTGTCTTTGTCTTGATCTCAGTTAACCTTTGTTCAATATATAATTATTTAATATTGAAAAACAGTGCCCAACTTTACCAGGGATTTTGTTACATAGATAGTACATAGCCTGTCTTCTTACCTGGTATAGCCAGGTATTTTTTAAATATTAAATTGGAGAGAGAGAGAGAGAGAGAGAGAGAGAGAGAGAGAGAGCGAGAGAGAGAGTGAGAGAGAGAGAGAGAAAGAGAAAGAAACAACTTGGCTTAAATAATGTAAATATACAATAAACTTACCAGATTGTTGACCACACACTCTATGGGTATATGACTTGAAGTAGAAAATCAAATGTTATCCTTGCCTATGTGGATGGTAGCATCCTGAATTCATATAACAGCAAGGAGTTCAGTGGAGCTGAAGCATCATTGCAAGTGGGAAAGTAGAGAGATGAGGCTTTTAAGTTATCTTAACAAAGAGTTCAGATTTTTAGTCTCTAAGAGATTGGAGAACCATTGGTGAATTTTGATCAGTGATGAGATATGGTCACTTGCAGGAAACGTCCCTCTTGGATCTCTGTGGAGATGGATTTGATCAGCAAGTCTTGTCTTATAGAGAGAGGAGGACACTCTTAATGTCGTGTTGGATTTTTGGGGATGTTGGTCGCAGAGTCATTTTGCAAAACTTTTCCATCCAGACCTAAAAATTAGTTATTCCAATGAGACTCTAGAGCATAGTCTAGGTCATGTTACATAAACCAGGTTGGACTTTGAAAAATGAAATGTCCTATTTTTATACATTGCTAATAAAAACAACAAGCTTATGACTGTTCTCTGAAAATCCTAGGCAATACCACAGCTTTTTATTGTTTTAGTTTCTAGTACATTCATATAAAATTTTTCTGCTTTTAGAATGGTTCAGAGGAAGGGGCACCATTTAATTTACCTTTTGCATCCTGTAATGTAATAAAGATCTGTCTATATTTCACTTAGCTTTTTTATTTCATCTTTATGACAGTTCTTCCATAGGTAGGTATTGCTAGCCTCATTTTAAAATTAAAGAAGCTGATGCCCAACTTAAGCAAGGTGGCCTTTATTACAGAAGAGGTGGAATTTGAAACCAGGTCTCTCTAACACTGAAGTCCTTTCTTTCTAACATATCACCTTCCTTCCCTGATAGAACTTGTCTAATTGCAATGCCATTTTCCCTCTGTGTACCTCTACCCTGAACTTTTCTTCATGTGGTATGAAGGCATGGGTGAATTAAAAATCTGCATTTTTTCTGGGGTAGGATAGCTCAGGCTATTTAATTGTTTAGGTCACGTAGCTCCTTGTTTCCTCCATTATAACTGAGGAGCTCTCTTTTCAATGCCTGACATCACCCTGCAGACAATTGGCAGCCAGGAGAGGGGCAGCTGCCACTCTCTTCAGATATCTCTCTATTTAAAGTTCAAAGACAGGCAGGAGAACAAAGAGGTAAGCCTGGCCCTGACCAACCCACCCGACAATAGGAAGAATGGCTGAAAAAGGTAAGATTTCAGGCACCAAACTCTCCTGGCAAAAAGGGCCCAGACTCTCTGGCTTACTTTGCGTTTCCCAGTATTTGGTGTTTCTCAATTATTCTGAAGAATGTGGTATTTCTGCTAAAGGTGCATTAACCATATATGTTAGTATGATCACAAATTGGGCATCGATGTGCAATGGACCATGTCTATACCATATGAACAATTTTGAAAGGATCAAACAAACAAAAGAGCTGAATTTGTCCACCCTTGTTTTGTAAGTTGAGTTAGAAGTCAGTTATTCTCCAATGTTGTACTAGATTTGAGGTATTAGATTTGAGATATTGTAGCATGATGAACTAGAATTAAGGACATTTGAATTCTATGTCAAATGTGCTACTAATGGCCACATGAGTTTGGGGAAGTCCCTCAACCCCTCTGAGTTTGTTTTCTGACTCTAAGATGAAAATACATAAAATGGGCTTAGCCATCTCTAATATGCTTTGCATCTGAATTTCTTTTTGTCCTGGTTTTTAAATGTTTTCTGTATTTAAGAGAAATGATTGACTCTAATGTGACAAAATGGGCTGAATACTGCATCCAAGAAAGTTTTTAAATGCCTACCGGAATTGTTCCTTTTAATTCTGACAACAGTCTCGTGATATATGCAGTATTGTCATCATTCCTGTTTTACAGATAAGGAAACTGAGGCATAGCAACATTTCTTAATTTGCCTGCGATCACACACTAGAGAGGGGTGGCACCAGCTTTGAACTTGGACAGTCTATTCCAGAGCACAGTGCCCTTAAGAGTACTTCTAAGGTGATTGCTTGGGCATGCTCAGGGCTGGACACATGAAGAAGCATTTTGAAATGACTCTTCATATTTAAAAAGCGGTTTTGTGCTTATTTGTGCTATTACTATAAGCGACACACAAAGTATATTGTGTTCCTATATTTGTCTGTTTCAAAACAATGCTACAGATTATGTAAAACAAGATAATTAGTATTAAAAGAACACCAATGCAGGTATACTTTCAGTGTTAAAATGCACAGTCAATTGTATTGTTTTACAAGGACTAATAATGAGATGTATTATTTTAAGTCTTTATTATATGTAAATTTTAGAATTGTATTAAAATATGCTCATATAATATATTTATAAATCCCCAATTAAAATATCCATATTAATTTTTAAGTTCTTTGAAATTGGGAAAAATACTAAGTCACATATATAAACAACTCAGAAAAAATTGCTGTTATGTAATTCGTCTGTAATGGCATCTCAATTCACAAAGAGGCTTTCATCCAAATGAGAGTAAAGGGTATATTGTAATGTTTGCTTTATCCTTATAGCAATACGACATGGCAGGTAAAAAGAAGTGTTTTCATTTAGTGGTTAATGTTTTGTTCAAGGTCACAGTGAGATTGAGAAGCAAGGAAAGCCTGATGAGTTGGTGAGAGTTAAGAGAGATTCCAACATTTTTGGAAAATAGATTTAAACTACTAAAATTCATTTTAACTTCAGAAAGTTTGCTTTTATAAGAGTGTCTTCTAATTTTAGAAGTGTCTTGTTTCCATATGATTTTATTTTAGCAGTATTAAAGAAACCCCACCACATTATAAAGTGATAAAAATTGTAATAGAAATGCAATTGCTAAAACTATGCATTCTCTTCATTAGCTAATAGCATAAGATCTAATTGTGCTTTTCAATTAAGGATATATCTGAGTCCTAGTACAAATTGGTAGTTATGAAATAGTCACAGGGATGTAAAGTAAAGCACAGGGAATATAGTCAATAATATGGCAATAACTATGCACAGTGCCAGGTGGGTACTCGACTAGTCAGGGGGATCATTTCTTAGAATATATAAATGTCTAACAACTATGCTGTACCCTTGAAATTAATCTAAAATAATATTAAATATCAACTGTAATTGAAAAGTTAAATAGGGGGGGGGAAAGTGAAGGGAAATAAGAGATCCAAATTTCCAGGTATAAAACAAGTAAGTCATGGGATGTAATGTACAGCATGGAGAATGTAGTCAATAATATTGTGATAGCGTGGTACAGTGTCAGATGGTTGCTGGACTTATCATGGTGAGCACTTCTTTAGGTATATAAATGTTGAATAACTATGGTGTGCCCCTGAAATGAATATAATATATATGTTAGCTATATTTTAATAAAAGCCTTAAAAGAAATATATACCTGAGTCCTTAACACAAAGACATTAATTCTATATGATGCCTTTCTGTGCTGCTTTTGAATCCTTTTGTGTGATGTGTGTGTATTTGAAAGAATAAGATTGAGATGCGATGAATATTAAAAAATTATACTTTTATAAATTGTTTTTACAGGTAAGGGTACAAATAGGAGACACAGGAGGAATGAGTATGCTAATGTCTTTTGTGTGTGTGTGTTGGATCACTATTGGTTGCTATATTGAACAAGTTAAAAAATAGAATCTCTTTTCTCTAGTCGAGGATGATTATATAAAATGTAATACTTTCTTTTTCCTATGATATTTAAGATTAAAGTGAGGTATCATTAAAGTTAGCTATCAAGGCCAAGAACAATTTTCAACACTTTTCCCAGTGTTATGATTATTATTTAGTTTAGTAAGAATTACGTCAGAGTCATTTTCAATTGTTTCTATGTAAACAGCTGCTGTCTGTTATTGAACACATGCATTAATGTGTTCTGTCTACACTAACACACACGATGGTTAGAGTTTATAAAGCCTTTGCACATACATGATATCAGTTGATCCTCACAACAGCTCCAGGAGATATACATCACAAGTTTCATTATTCACATTTTGCAAACAGGGCAGTTCAAGCTCAGAATTGCCCAGTATCACAAAAATATAAAAGGAAGACCTATGGTTTGAACACAGGTCTTCTATTCTAAACACCCAGCTTAGTCACCTGTACTTTGTAGAAAAGAAAATAATAATCATGGATAGGTATGACTAAAGAGTGTATTTTTTCCACCTTGATATTATCTCTTGCTCTCTGGATTCAGAAGATTTAATGCCAAAATACCCTACCTAATCTGGTTTCTTTTGTTTATTTTTAAACAGAATCTACATCATCCCAACTTCTAGTCCCTATTCTTCTCTTGGTTGGCTGGATTGTGGGCTGCATCCTAATGGTTTATGTGGTCTTCTTTTAGAAAGGTAAAGTTTTCCATAATTGAATATGTTTATTCATAAAGGTCATACATTAGTCCAGAAATAATCTTTTATGTTTTACTAATGAAACATTTTACCATGCAGGCAAGAAGACTTCAGATCGACACCATTTAGAAGAATAAAGAAAAGCATGAACATCATAGATTGTCAAATGTTTCTCATGTAAATAACTGCAATGTTTGACATTGCTTTATAAACTTGGATTTATAAACTGGTGCTTTGGTGTGAATAAGAATCTCTTCAGAAACTTGTTTAAAATTCTGGTACAAATAAGAACTGTAAGAAAGTATAGATGAATTTCTCTATAACCTGGGAGTAGGAAAAATGTCCCTAACTGTGACTAAAAATGCATAAGTAATAAGGAAAAGTTTGGGAAGTTAAATTATATTAATTTTTTGCCCCCCCCCCAAAAAAACCTATAGAAAAACATGAACTAGCGATAAGAAGAGATAGTTTTCAGAAAACAAAATGTGAATATGAACTTGGCCTTTAACCTCTTGCTCATAACAACAGAACTGTAATTAAAACTACACTGAAACATAATTGCTTCACATGGGGAAAAAATGAAGCGGTTTGACAATATATGTGTTGGTAAGGCTGCGGGTAAACAAGCACTCTCATACATGATCTTTAGGAATTTAAAATGGGACAACATGTTTAGGGGTGTTTGGCAGTCAGTATCTCCAAAAATTAGACGTGTATTTAATTTCTGACCCACCTATCCCTCTTCTTAGAATATTGCAATTTCCATAGTTACTCTGGTAAAAATACAAATTGGCATATGTACAATTCTATTCATTGTGGCATAATTTGTTATAGAAAAAAACTTAGAAAAAAGCCAAATGTCCAGCAATAGGGAACTGACTGAATAAACTGTGGTTTATCAAAAAATATGGTACTTACACAGCAGTAAAAGGAAATTAAGGGGCGGGGAGGGTCTCTATATACTGATGTGATGTCATCTCCAGGTTAAAGTGTTAAGTGAAAAAAGCCAGGTATAGGACAATGTATGCTACCTTTTGTGTAAGAAAAGGAGGAGTTATAGCAATATGCACACATACTTGCTTATATTAAAATATTGAGTCAGAGGAACCGCAAATGGAGATTAGATATCTCTGAGTGCATCTTGTTTTATAGCTATCATTTTTGGAATCATGTATGTATCTTATAAATTAAAAATACAAGAAAAAAAGAACAAGTCAAACCCCCCACCAATTTAAAACAAATTAACCTAACAGTATATCAAGTTGGTGGCATAACTACAGAGAAAAAATTATTTCAAGTGACTTTAAAATACAGTATTTTTGACTGTACATCTCTCATGGGATAGAAATCTTAACCACACTCAGTGGTCTTTTTATTAATAGTAGTAATATTGGTATTGTCCATTTGAAATTCACATCATCAGCAAAATGAAGTCAAGTAAATACCTGATAACCTTAAATGTGAATTGCAAATAGCAGTATGAACTCATAATTCATTTTCCTTCATCTAAAAATAAAACTCTATCCCAGTTCCACCCACTAAAAAAGCCTAATAGAGATGAGCATCTTTGCACCTTCACTGTGGTTTCTAAACTCCAGAGCCCACTCACAGGACCCAGGGTCCCTGCCACAGGCTGGGGCAGGAAATGACCAAGATAAACCTGGGACACCTTGTTCCAGATAGTAAGGAAACTGTTAAAAGGCGACTTTGGACAAAGATGTGATAATTTGAACATCAAAAAGAATAATGGCTACAATATAAATACCCACGAATCTATAATAATAATAATAATAATAATAAATAAAAGTAAGCCAACAGAACCCTGATTGTTCCATTTGGAGGTTGCTAAGGAAGCAATTTATTATGGTAAAATTTGTAACTAAAGGGAGAGGGTTTTGTTGTTCTTGAATACACTACTTCCTGATAATCCGAGACTCCTATTTCTAACAAGTTTTCAGGTGACAGTGATGCTACTCGCCAAGAATCCTATTTTGAGAACCACGGCTCTCGAACTGCTAATGTCTGCATGTTCATGTCCCCCTAAAATTCCTATGTTGATATCCTAACTCCCTAATGCTGATATGAGGAGGGAGGGGGCATATTGGGAGGTGATTAGGCCATGCGTGTGGAGCGCTCAAGCATGGGATCAGTGCCGTGTGAACGAAAGCCCAGAGAGCTCCCTAGCCGTTCCACCGGGTGAGGATACAACGGGAAGCGAGCAGCCAGGAAGAGGGCCCTCATTAGAACCCGACCACATGGGCACCCTGACCCTGGCCTTACAGCCTCAAGAATTGTAAGCAACAAATATTTGTCATCTATAGCACCCCTCCCCGACCCCCCCCCATTCTGTAGTGTTTTGTTATAGCAGCCCGAATGGACTAAGATGAGGCCGATTTCTTCCTCATAACTACAGCATCCTTTGCTATTTAATTAAGTCTTTTTCTACAGAAATTAATCTCCTTATAAAAAAAATGTAAAGCCTTGGCTTTAGTTATTGATTTTTATCTTTTATACTTGGTTAAACATTTCAAAAAGGCTTTTTGAAAAGTTCTATTTAAAGCAATTTTTATAAAACTTTAACAGAAAATATACAAAATCAGGCTCAACTATTTTCATTAATGACTTGACCTAATTTTAGCTTTCTCCTCACTTGAGAAGAACTAATTCACCTTGAATCAGAGGCCTCATAAGAGGCAGCTCCTGCAGGTTGTGAAAGCTGATTGTTAGATTTTCAGGAATTTTGTGTTAGTTGACATCTCACTGGTAGCTTGCAATTGGCCATTGTGTAGTATTTATACCACAAAAATCAACACATTTTATAAATCAGAGCTTCTTCCCACTGGACAGTAAGTTCTTGACCATTGACCAGCACTCTCCTGACTTGAATCTTGCTGACTTGCCTGATCCTTACATAGCTTGTGAGGGCTTCAAGACCACCCACCTTTTTCTTTTTTCTTCAGTTAATGAAAAAGATGGTCTTTACATTCATTTGACCTCCTTTTGTGCTGTAGACTTTAATGAGAAATCTATGCGAACTGCAAACTTTTCCAAAAAAGATACATTCACACAAAAATAAGCTGCTATTTCAAGAAGCTGTTTCCTGAAATGCATTGAAGACGCCCTAGGTTAAGTAGCTCTCACTTTCTGGAGCCTTTAGGCCTCTTCGCAACTTAGCTCTGGTTTCACTTGGAGTTAAACGCATCACCTTATATTTTTTGCTTTCTTCCTAGCTAGAGACTGGGTTATTTTTTTTGTTTTTTGTTTTTTTCTTTTTTTTTACTTCTTTCTACTGACATCATTCCAGCATCACCCATCAGCTTTCTTGCTTTTTCATCCCTCAGGGTCCTGGCACTTGTCTGGTTTTACAGGCAGAGTTAGAAAACAAGATTGTGGCAACCTATGTCTTATGTTTGTCAAAACAACTTCCCTTTCTTTAGTCTGGAGCATTTTTCCTCCCTATGCACCGGTCCTTTTCTTCAGCTCTTTGAAGCTATAGTATACCCTGTTTCTTATTTAGATGTGTGCTCGGCATTTTCCCTGAACACAAAAAGCTTCAGCGTTCCTGTAAATATTTACATTCTACCTCTGAAAGACTTTCTTATTTCCAGGGCTTAGTATTCTTTTCTCCGGCACTTTCAAACAGACTGGAACACTGTTTCTAAGCAGCCACAGAAGTGAACTTTTCTATAATAAGTATTTTAATTCCATGTTTCCACACCCAACCTGATCATTTTCTCGGAGAACAAAGAGAGCTTAGTGCAGTGAAAAGAACAAAAGTTTGGGAAGTCAGATTGTTTTATCCTAACTTGGGAGTTCTTCGAGTAGTTAGTTAATCTCTCTAAGCTTAGTTTTCTCAATTATAAAAGATGAATTAATATTTTCATAGGGTTGCTGTGAGGACTGCAGTGTTTTCTATACCTACCTGATCTGAATCAATTGAGTCGTTTTTTATAAATACAGACACTTAAGCTTCTTCTCTGGCGAGTTCATCTCAGGAGGTCTGGAGAAGGCTTATTAAAAAAAATCAATTCGCCAGGTGATTTTTATTATTGCAGAAGTTCGGAAAACACATTTATAATGTATGTGTATGTGTAGGCATTGCTCCTTGATACATGCAGATTCTGATCCATGACAGCTTATGTTGGTGGGTCCCAACCACTTTTCTGTTTATTGCTGCAACAAAAAATTAGCACTTTATTATAATTATTATATAATATTATAGTATAGTTTTAATTGCATAAAGTATAATGATGCATAATATTATTTGGCTACTAATATTTTCATACATGTGAATTTTATTTTCCACATTAGATTTTAAACTCTTTATGGGTGAATCCATTTTTAATCTCTCTGCTGCATAGAATATAGACAATAGATAACTAATGAATATATATCGAATGGGTGATTAATAATCTCCCCTTGCCACGTTCTTGAATGCACAATGTTGATGTTCTAACTTTGAACTTGAAAGACGTCACTTGGAGCAATTTTATCTGGATTAGAATTCTTAAAGAACCTACTGTGAGCATTAGGTTCAGGTAGGTGATTGCATACAGATTTCACAAGACATAAAAATCTTACTTGTTTTTAAATTTCCAAAATCTTCAGCTGACAGTCTATCAAAGTGTAGCTATAACTACCTGAGAAGATTAATGAGCTAACTGTTTCTTAAAATTTTTGGTTGCTTATTCCCAGCTTTACATCATCACAACATCTCCGCTCTATGTCCCTCCCCCACCTCAAGAGGCACACTGTGTCAGGGCTGAGAAATGTTCCTTTCTTTATACTCTGTATTAGGATGTAATATGAAAATCTCTTGAAGAAAGTGTTTTATTCCCCTCTGGGCCTTGGGAAAGTGATATATTCCAATGATATTTGAAATGTCTAGGGCAAGTCCTTAGGAGATACCCAGGCTAGTGGAGCTGAGAGAATTCCCTGGAGCATAGAATCCCAGAGGAGACGCCCTGGTGCACAAACAGAAGTAACATTTTCAAGCAAGATCTAGCTATAGATCATGTGATAAAGTAATTTTTATTTTGTGAGAAAATTATTTCCTGTTTAGATGTACTCAAAACCCTTATTTTTGCTTATTGCTGCTTCTCAGACACCCCCTTCACTCTTTTCTTTTGTAGACGAGCAGGGGAGTCTCACTTAAAACGTAAATATACATTCGCCTCAGATTTCTTTAGAGGAAAGGAAAAGACACTAGTAGCAAAAGAATAATATTTTTT